TTTTACTAAATGAAATAGTCCAATCAAACATACCTTTGCTAATGTCTAAAAAACGGCTCACATTTTAGTGGTAATACGCGGGAAGGTCGACCTCAGTTTCGTAAAGATATGAAGGATTATTAGGTTTAACGAGGTAGATGATTTATTTGTAATCAGATGTATTTTGCATACTAATACTGTAAATAAGTTTTTTATCTGTTCATTTTTTGTGTGTACTTGGTATGTATCTTGGTGATACATGTTTTAAACTACATGTACTTCATAGAATGTGCACATTATTTATTAATAGAAACATGTTAAATTATAAAATAAACATTTAATAATTGAATTAATATGGTCTGGATTGAGTCAAATCATGTAGAGTACAACTAAAATTCGCAGAACATATCAAAAGACTGTTTGTCTCTTCTGGTTTTGTGGGAGACACTTTCAGATCTAACGATATCGTTATTTTCAAAAATGCAAAGCGAAGCCCTTTTATGAAACACATTTGTTTTGGTAAGCGAATTTTAAGTTTAACGTCGAATCGAATGCAGTATTTCAAAAATACTGTACATGTAAGCCACACAACACAAAAATCGAGCGATTTACATGATACAGGTTACATGTAACATTCCAAATTGAAAAACCACTAATGCATAGCGATAGCGATAGAAGAAAGTAGAAAAATGATTTCCATTCTTGTTCTTTTTGATGAATTTATCACCAATAGCTTTATAATTACTAATCTAATTTATTAACGTTAATATTATCGTTATCGTATCATAACGATAACTACATGTATAATGATAATACTCTAAATTGCCATTGCTGGAGAACTAAAATTACGTTTAAATGATGACTAGATGATGAGTGAACAACATACCCCCTTCATCTTTGAAATAACAAAAAATGTTATTTTATACTGTGTAACACTCCCCGATAGTAATATAACAACAACACAATGTTTGTCGTCGCCGTCTTTGTGTTTATGTGTTTTTTTATGCGTGCGTCAGCCAAATCAACTAAACGGAACGGTTTAGAAATAAGTGCATTTAGTTCACTTGTTTGAATTTGATTTATCGTTATTGAGGCGTATTAGCTGCAACCAATCGGTCAAATACGGTATATAAGTTTAGTACTTTATCGTCAACTACATGTACATGTATAACGATATGCTTTTTTCTTTACTATAAAAACAAGTGCCTGCTTTTTATTAAATACGTAGACTCCTTTTAGATATCAATAAAACGCAAGTTTTTTTTTATCTACCTGCTCCTATTTTGTTTCCCATTATTATTACTATTATTATTATTATTATTGTCAAGAAATAATAAATATGGAACCAAATACGCAAACACGCCAAACCAGCAATATTAATGAAAAAAACTACAGTAAAGGTTTGTACTAGCTTGACCAGTTCGAATATAGTAGTGTGGTGAAAAAACAGCTTATCCACTTATTGATAATAAATAGTGGATAAACAATGGGATAATTCGTCTGACCTCGACTTTGACTCGCAACAACACATTATTCGTCGTAAACCAGCAGAAGTATACGAAACTCCACTATATAGCAATAACAATACTTCTATAAATACAACATCAAATACGGAATTTCCACTCTCAAATCAACAACAAGATCCTCAAGAATCCACATCTTCATTTTCTTATTCCTCTTCTTCCTCTCCCGACTGGGATTTGGAGTCAATCTGTTCAACTGCTTCCAGTCATTCAACAATAAAAGACGACAATAACAATGAAGAGTATTATTATCAAAATGAAGCATTAAGCCAAAATTCCTACACTACAATCACATCCGATTCTACAACTACCACGCCCACACAAGCATCATCACAATTCCAGTCTCAAAAATCTCGATACATTTTCTTTGCGGGACAAATAATTGCTCCTGGATTCACTCTTTTCTCGAGAGTCACCCAAAAAAGCGACAACAACGACACAGATTCAATTTCTCAAAAAAAGAATTGTAAAAGTATTTCGAAGCGAAAAAGTGTGTATCCTGTTAGATCACCCGACAAGGTGGAAGACGGGACGGGTGTATATGCTACTTGTTGTGTTTACGAAATATTTCAAAATGAGCCATTGAAGTTGTTGGATCGTGTAAAGAAGCCCACGTTGTCGTTGTCGATTGCCAAAAGATTAAAATCGAGATCTGGAATGAAGAAAAAGGTACTTATTTATATTTATTTCTTCGTTTTAAATACTCATTTCTCTAATAAACATTCTCTTTATTTAAAAATATTCAAGCGAAATTAATGTGCGAAATATCGGATTGAAAAACTAAAGCTTTTAAATCTTTTTTAATAAATTTTTTGCAAAATAAATTTTTTTCTCAACAATGATCTGCATCAATTAAAAAAAGTAACGGTAATTCGTTATCATTATCATTATCATCACATCAATCGTTATTTATCTAAACATCCAATTACTTTTAAACACGTTTTTAATCTATGTCGATATATAGCGATAAGCGATAATGTGTCATAATAGATAGCATGATCTATCAAAGAGCCCAGAGTATACTTCAAATGTCTTGTGGGATTTCTCTAATCGATAATGACTTTATTAATAATCAGCAATTCAGCGATATTAGAATAAAATAAACATCTTGTATGGGAATCGCAGCGCGATATAAAGTATTCGCTCGTATGCTTAATGATGGAATGCGCGAAACCAGTGCAACGGAAATATAATATCGATATCGTCTCAGTACTGTTATGGAGATCTTTGGGTTGAATACTGAAATTGCGATCGATGTACTTTCTGCGGAAACTTTTTATTTGCCAGCCTTGGAGAGAATGAGCACTTTTTTCGACAAGAAAGCTCGACTGTTTAATAAAAATAATAAAACCCTTTTCGATTCAATGCCAAAGAAATTGCTTCGAAGGCGGTTGATATATTTGACTCACGAAGAGTTTAAGAAAAATTCTACACAGAAGTAGATCCTGATTCTTATAAAATGATAATAGGTGACTGGAGAGGTCAATTTCTCGATAATTGAACAATTGCTTCCTTAAAGCTTATTTCCATCAAGATCTTGATCTGCTTAAAATTTTCTCAATGGATTTTATGCTCTTTCGTCAACCAATCCCTTAAAATCGTGGGAGCACTATGAAAAAGGTCAAAATTATGTACTACAAAAAGTTACAAATTTAAACTGGTGTCAATCGAATAAGTGGCTGTCAGCGAAGGTGGATCAAATGAGCAACCTTTTATTGAAAAAGAAATTACGAATGAAAAAATTAAAATGAGAAGTTTGAAAACGAAGTTAGGGTTACAATTCAATTAGATACTACATAAGTTCTAAAAAAAATTAAGGAATGAGATACCATTACAGTTATCCAAATACAGGAATTTCTTTTCATGGTTTATCAGATCTAGATTTAATGTTAAATCGAGTCCGATTTTATGTATGACTGTAAATTACTGTATCAATATGTGGAAAAGTACGTATTTTTGAAAATTTACATTTCTTGTTAAAATTAATTTAAAATCCTGAATTTGGTTTTACGGATATTTATAACAATTGATCGTATAATAGACACTACTTTAAATATTATAAAATAATTCGCCTTTTATCGGTACAGACGTTCTTATAATTTTGCATATACAATTTATTATGTTAAAACTTTGCTTTTTCAATAAAAAAGTGGAATATATTTTGTTATTAAACAAAACTCGAAATATCACATGAAAATAATTTATTGAACAAACTAAAATCTTCTATATTAACAATTTAATTATCTATTCGTGTTATTTCTGATTTAATTCTAATCGTTTAACTTTATTTACCTTGTTCACTTTTTTTCACTGAATCAAACGGTTTCCTTAATTGCTTTATCAATAGAGTATAAAATTTTCCAAGAAGCTTTTCAAACAACTATATCTTTATGTTTTATTACCGCTAACTGCACGTAGACCTTCTACACGCCGCCGATTTCCTCTTTCAACATAGCCATATTGGTGAATTATCTTAATAATATCTTCGAAGTTAGGATGAGACAGCATCTCGTTAATTCATGTATCAAAGTAGTTCATTTCGAATTTAGCACCATAATTAACCAATATTTTAAGGTGCCACTCGATCATATCGAAAAGACATTATAGCATAAGTAAAAACCGACATAATTGGACAACTTTCATCTAATCTATATTTGAAAAAAATGAATGTAAGCAAAGAAATAAAAAAATTGAATAGTAAATATAATATTTCTGCCCTTTTTTTGATAAGAATTTTTAGTCTATCCTCAAAGATATCAATGTGAAATGCTTCCTCAAATGATTTATTTATCACCTATCAGTCTTTCGAATTCAAACAAAAGTACAAGAAAATCTTAAATTTTTGTTGTTAACATTTTTCTATGACATAACAACTAACTGGAGTAGCTTTTCTAAGATAACTTTTGTGTTAGTAGTCGTAATAAAAGCGAAATAAGAACACTAAATTATTTATTATCTCTTAAACCGTCAGGTTTAGCTGGCTAAAATTAGATCTAATATATTTTTACCAAAAATTAAAATATTTTAATTATATAATAGTTAGTTTCACTTATAAAAATTATAGTTGTCTATAAGTTAAAAATAAGCAATTTTAAAAAATTTTTATTATTAATTAATAAAATTACAGAATTGATTATAAAATAAATCAAATATTTTGAGCAATTATAAATAAAAATTACAAATTGATTAAAAATATGCTATATTTTTATTTTAGCTTAGAAAAAGGGGGGAATGTACAAAAAAAATTTTAGCGGGCAAATTTGCTCGCTGGACGGTTTAAGGGATAAAGCCTAATTTACAATCGAAGTACTAAATGAAATAAGAGTTTGTCTTTTTTCTTTAAGATGCTTAGAATTTACAAATTCTAAAGTAAAAAAAATCATAGAATTTTGAATAATTTTTTGTCATTCTAAAATGAAAATTAATTAATTACCTTGTATATCAAATAAATAAGGTTTATACAAATTAGTAGAAACTATTTCTGATAGTCTATTCGCATGTGAAACTTTATATCGTTGAAATCTTCGTTCGAAGAAGTAAGAACTATTTCTGGTAAGCTATTCACTCGTGAAAGCTTTATATCATCTGATAAGCCGCTCATTTGCAAATGAGTTATTAGAGTTTCTGTATCAAGTGAATATTCTTGCGAAGAAATAGAAATTTCTATAAAAGTAAGTAAATATTTTTGCAAAGAAGTAGGAATTGGCAAAAAGTTTTAACTAATGATCAGAAAATGCATATAATTACCTGAAATGTTACATGAACTGTTATTACTATTGTCAGCATTTTTTTTAGGTACCGTCGCAAGTTACCATCATTGGCATATTCTTGAATTATGTTATATTTGATAGATATCGAAGTTGTAAATAATTTAAAAATTGTTTTTTAATATGACGAATTGATTTTTACTAAATGAAATAGTCCAATCAAACATACCTTTGCTAATGTCTAAAAAACGGCTCACATTTTAGTGGTAATACAAAAGCACTTAAACCTTTATAAATGTAATTTTATTTATTTGACGAATTCCAAAGTTTTGTTGCGTATACTCCAATTTTAGTCTTTTACAAACACTTTCTTTACGTAGTCACAATTCCAAAACTACCTACTGAAAGCTTTTTTCGCTTTCGTTTTAATTTTTAATATCTTGACGATGCCGAGTTTTAAACTCTCGTCTAACCATTTTTTATATGTACTCATTTTTGCATAAGCAAATAACGACAATGATAACATAATTTTATAGCGTTACGGAAAGTTATTGCATACTGTGCGCAACATTTAATTCAGGGTTGCTGATACATGTATTATGTCTAACCTAACACCAACGCTAATGGCTGATTACGTATCAGGTAAGACTTTAAAGATGGTCTCCGGTCCCCACGTCCTACCGTGGTCTCAAATTTACGAGACCATGTTCACTAAATCTTCTTGATTAATTCTCAAAGAACTGGAATCTTTTTTCATGGTTTAGATTTCGATTTAATAATGAGTCGGGAATATATAATAAAAATCGAAAAAGTGTCGCTATTTCAAGAGATTCGTTATTTAATTATGGTGACTTCCTTTGATTAATATTATGGGTTTTGAAATTTGCTTTATATTTTAAATACAGTCGTCCCCTCTATAGTCGCATCCTTCGGGAACCGGTGATAGTGTGACTATAGAGAGATTTATTTAATGATCACATATTGAGTGGCCCAGGAACGGTGTGACTTTAGGGGAAGAAGTGATTATAGGGAGAAGGTTATAGAGGGGGGCGACTATATATGTTCTTTTTAAAATCGTTTAACGCTATTGAAAACTCACTTCTATCAATACAAAGGATAGTGTAAAGAAAGTCTTATTAAGTAATTTAAAATCTGAAATAATGCTGAATTGATTTTACAGAATAGTGTCTATTAAACATATCATTTTAGAAAATATTATAATAATTTCGCCTTTTGCTACAGACGCTCTTCTCATTTTGCATTTACAGTATATTAAAACTTAGCTTTTTCAATAAAAAGTGAAATATATTCTATTATTAAACGAAACTCGAAATATCACATGAAACCCCAATATATTTCTGTTTTAATTCTAATCGTTTAACTTTACCTTTTTTGCCTTGCCAACTTTTCAGATATTTTCTTTTTTCACTGGAACAATCTGCTTCCTTAATTGCTTCATCACTTACAACAGACTCGCTGAGACTATAAAAGTTTCCAAGGAACTTTTCTTTTTGAATTATATATTTTATTACCAACTAACATCATTTAGATTTCTACACGCAAATCTGCAATTTCAGCATCTCCATATCTTAAAAATATCTTCAAATTTAGGAATAACTTGATAGTCTAACTAAATGAAACGAGAGATTTCTCCAACAGATCAGATGGGATTTTCTAGATAGCATGTTAAAACTTGACAATCTGCACAACAGTTATTTTCATCTATATTTGAGAAAATAAATGTAAAAAATGAAAATAAGAATTGAATAATAAAAAGAATATATTCCAACCTTTATGAATTAGAATTTAGCATTTTTTCAAAGATGTCGATATCCATATGAAATGTTTTGTCTTCCTCAAATAATTTATTCTTCAATAATGATAATCGTCGGGTTTTATAGGTCTGGGATTTTTCGCAGAAATAGATGCAATAGAGGCGAAATAAAAAATACAGGCGAAGCAAAATAATACTAAGTTTTTCTTACCTGCGACAAAAATGATAATGCATTATCAAGATACTTGCTTTAGAGGATTCACGTGAATAAAGTACTTCTTTTTTTCAAAGTTTAAATCTTAGAACATCTATAAAGTGAAAAAAAGGACAACATTCATAATTGAAATTGTAGTTTGATGTTCATTGCCAAGCATTGCATATTATTTGACAATATTTCGATTCTAATAAGCTGCTCACATGTGAAAACTTTATATTACCTGATAGACTGCTCATTAGCAAAAGTTTATATATTAATATTCTTCTGAAGTAGAAATTTTCGTAAAATTCAGAATTGGCAAAAGTTTCAATTATATTTGAATATTAATCTGAAAAATTCATATAATTACCTAAAATGTTACAGTCTCCGGCGAAAGAATGTCAGCCAGTTTTTTTTATCGTATTTCATTTAATTGTAAAAAAAGTGTCTCTGAGTAGGGTATTATGCTCTTCAAATATCAGTACTTGGGGTGCTCACTTTCCGTGTTAATGCAAGTTGAATATAATTTAATGTTCTAAAAATATCGTAACTTAACAAAAAAAAAACTAAAATTCTGAACTTCGCAATAATTTGATAAAATGTTCGTCTTATTGAGGTGAATATAATAAGACCAAAATTACAAAATATGGCCACTGATTATCGATAAAATAAGTCTTGAAAACCTAGGAAAATGTCTTGCCGTGATGCGCTCCTATTAGATTTTCGCAAATTCATCACAATCTTGTTTTTTACAATTGTTATTATCTTGCTAGAAATCTAGCACTGTTAATTATATATTTTGCTTCTATAAAAAATGTTAGTATTGTAGTAAAATTATATAAATCTCACCGCCATTACTTTCACCGGTGACTCTACTTGAACTGTTATTACAAAAGATGCGAATGGCCTGTTTAGGTTCAGGATCCCAACATTATTCATATATTAACGTTTTCTCTTAGCCTATTTATTATCGACAATGAGAATGCGACATCGAATTGTCTTCCTTCAAAAGCATATTTAAATAGCGCCAAATGAGTAAATGTCTGATCGTGTATCATGCGAATAAGTAGAGTCTAGAAGGCGCTTTGGTTCAACATAACGATAAGGTATAACGATAATACCATATCGATATACGTACTCTATTTAGTGTAGATTAATAATTTGATATTCAAAAATCGGTTAATTTGGCAACCCTTTTTTGTACAAAAATGTTCTTCGAACGCCTTTTTATGTAATCACAAAAATCATACGTATATAAGTTAGTTCTATGCACAATTTCTTCCTTGTGCCTTGAGTTACTTGAAAAATTGAAGTCTGTCATGCCAAGTTAGCATTTGACATTTCTTGGGTGTTGTCACAAGTTACCTTCATCAGCATATTCTTAAATAACAATATATTCCAAATTGTAGGATCTTTTTTTAATATACCGATTAAATTTTACATAACAAAACAATGCATTCAATAGACCACATATTTATTTAAGTTAAAGAATTTAAAATTTTTTGTAGATATAATCATGAAATATTTGAGTTTGAATATTAATGCGTTTATCATTAACAAACGATTTATGTTCATTTCTTGTGTATGTTCTAATGTTAGTCTTTTGCAAGCAACTGTTTCACGTAGCATTTTCCAATAGGCAGTAGTCACAATTCCAAAATTATCTTCTGAAAGCTTTTTTTCGTTTCTTCATTTTTAATAACCCTTGTCCAGCCATTTTTTATATTTACTCATTTTTGCATAATCAAATTAATATTACTTAATTTTATAGCCTACACATTTTGTTGTAATGGGAAGTTTTCATATAAGGTAAGGTTTACTGCATAGTTTTTTTTATGTTGATATACGTATTTATTAAATAATTTATAAGAAATATTATTCTGCATGTAATACCAACCCAAAATGGATATTTATGGTGGTGCAAACCAATAAGGAAGCGTAAAGTTTTTGATCAAATCCGGCGAAAAATGTAAAATGGACAAATCTAAAAATCATTCCTTGTATCGGTATGTGTGTGAATGATCTTCTCTAGTTTTGACCGGAAATAAATACGTATACGTAATTGTTGGCTGAAAACGTCATCGAAAATTCTCATAGAAAATTCTCATCGAAAGGAGTCGATGGAAAAAATGCGAGATCTATCAAATCAAAAATTTTACAAACATAAAAATCACAATGCACAAATTATCCGCATATTCAAAAGGATTGAATCTGGAGTTGGAACTTGTCGAAAGACTGGAGGGTGTAGGTATCACTTGTGAGCATACAGGGTGAGTGTTTCTCTGAGTTATTTGTGTATTTGAAGTTACGCTGCCACATCGGTGTCTGGGAAATCGAAAGCGCATAGTGGCCACTGTCTCGGCATTTCCAGTTTCTGATGTCTCTGCACTGCCGAAGCGCTGGGGGATTCATGGTGAATAGGATCCACTCTAACAATCAAAGCAACACCGAGAATATTCCGACTGTGGATCGTCTTTAGTTAGTTGATGATTATGACGCAAATGCTCACTTTTTACTGTTATCAATATCTAGGGGCCCGGGCGACGGAGGAGTAGATGCCAGGTGTGAAACTGCTATGTTAAAATACGCGTTTCGATGTAATAACGTTGAAAAATACATAGGTAATATATATTAATTATATGTGTTGACAAAGATGAATATCAACTAATCAATATCAAATGATCATAGGACCCTCCGTCGTCCGTAAGTGAGGAACAAAGTGGGGCACTCGGTATCATCGTGAGTGCCCCAGGAAATAAGTTCACACAGTGTGCAATAGAATCAGTCAGAGCGTTTGTATATCCCATCCTCCGGACCGATATAGCACGTCTATCCTTCTACATTCTCAATATAACCGTTGATCGGCTACAAGGAAGACCCTTCGAATTTTTCTACCTCTCCTAATTTTTCCTCCCCTAATTTTTCCTCCTAATTCTTCATATGTATTCACTTTTGAGGATGGGGTACACAGACGTTTTGGCCTTTGCTTTTTTGTAAATATTTTATTTATATGTATTTTTTCTTGTACATATACTATTTTATCTCTCCTTTAAACAAATCCATATCAGAGATATGGAACACGGGTCACTTGAGCATTGACGTCCCCGTCGTGTGACCTGGATAACCAACCAACAAATGCTCATTTTTTTACTGCACACGATTAATTATCTACTTTAATCGTTATTCCCACCAACCACAAAACCATTCCAGTCCGTACGCGCGTTTCGTCGATCGTGATTCCCGGGAAAGAGCAATCTGCCGGTGCCGATTTGAGCCAAAAATTTTGGGGTGAGAGTTCGTGTTAATGCCCACAAAAGATTGGTAAATTTTTATCGGCTTTTGTGCCGATATCACCATACACTGCACCGTATTAGACACGTGGCGGCGGTGATTCCGAGATATCATCCTTCTTATCGTTATTAATTTTATCTAAATATGTTTTGAATCATCAATGAATCAAAGAGAGATTAATAAAGAAGGAATATCAGGAATATCAAATAGTGATTTTACCTTCATTTGCTTGGTTTGAGACATACAAACTGATGCTAACGTTTGCTGATTCAGTATCTCTGTCGATATCATAGTAGTTACTGTATTTTTTTTGAAAAAATAAATATTTACTGGAACTGAAACTTGTAGCTCGCAGACACTCCAACATTTCCAAGTTCTCGAATCAAATTGCAAGATTTATTGGGCTGGGTTAAGATTATTTTCAAAAAGGTATTTAAAGAAAAATTTCTCGAGAAACATTTTTGTTAGAACATAAAAGGCAGTTTCATAGACAATATTTCGAGAGATAAGTTATTTTTCACAAATAAGCTTTTGTTTGATTACACATTGAACTTACAATTTGATAGGAGAATCTTGAATACGTACGTAACTGTATACATGTTCATGTATTTGGCATTTTCGAACATTGTTACGTATTTGTAATTTTTCATTTGTTACATGATGTCATTTGGCATCCGATTTTTATTTAGCTAAAAATATATCGATATGATTTACGGCTGAGACAGTAACGGTAAATAACTATTTACGGGTTGGATTGCTGAAGCACAATAGAAGATTCATTTGATTCAATACTTCTTTTTTAGACGCACTTTCGCTCAGATTTTATAAATAAAAAAGTATATTCTGAAAATGAATATTTTGCAAATAAATTCATTCAATATATTTAGCAATTCAAACTATCACAAAATACATCATACATTGCTATTGTATCTTTAAAAAACGATAAGTTACTCCGGTAATCGCTTTACCTTTATTTTGAATTTGGCGATAGCTAACTTTCTCAAATAAACACGGCAAATTCTTGGTGTTTTTATGGTAATCACGCATTTTGGAGAACTGAGTTTATGATTGGTCCACTCTTTCGGGCCTCAAATTTTCCTTGGCACAATATAATATAATTTAAATTTATGAAGAATCCAGCACTGAAGTTTTATGTAAGTAAATAGTAAATTTTGAAATTATAAAATTTATTTATGTACTAGATAGATAGTTCATACATATATTTACATGTATTATACAAGAAATTCGAATGGCATAATAAAAGCTACAGTAATTATATAAGTCATCAAGTAGAAAATAAATACATGTAATTACAATACAAAACTAAACGATTTAAAAAGCCTAAAACTACATAATTACGCAGGAACAATTCGAGCGCTGCACAACAAACCACTACGATTCAAAATTCTAAGCCAAGCGTTGAGAACATTCTTCACACCAGGACCCGATTGAAGAGCAATGTCTGATTCAGTCAATTGAATAGGAGAACTTCCACCTGGTGGTACGTTAATTGTGAATTTCGGGTTCAAAACCTTGATCGGGGTAGATGGATCTTTTTTTGTAGGATGAATTTCGAATTTGTAGATGGAAGGGTCTGGATTACTGAATCCGGAATTGATTTGTCCATTAATACGAGTGGCATTCGAAAGTTGTCTAAAACTGAATTCACCGGTAAGAGAACAATCTGGAGCGGTTTTGAAAGTCGCGCGTGCTGAGGATTCACGTTTTTTGAGCATTGTTGTTGAAACTCCAGTAGAGAAGGAGAACAAACTAAAGATTAAAGCGACGATCAAGAAGAGATTAGAGTTTTTGGCCATTTTGAAGCGTTTTTTTTTGTGCTTATTTGATGTATTATTTAATTGATTTTTTGATTCTTTGTTGGGCGAGAAAAAATTATTGCAGAGAATTGTCTCTTTTATATTGAGTTTTTATCTTTTAAATAGAATTCATTTAAAAATATAAGATCAAATGTGATTAATCAATGGCTGATTATATCACACTAAAATTTTAATTCAGGATCAATTACATGTAATAAGGAGCAAACGGGTTATGTCACTGAAATTTAATCATATAACACAACGGTTATATCACACTGAATTTTAATCAGGATTACTGTGATAAAATTTTTCAACCAATAGAGTTTTGTTTATGATCATGTAAAAAATATCTGAAAAGTAACCTTTAATCAACAAAATCATTTCCCACCTCCTTCCTGATACTGATTCTATTCACAAACAATTTTTTGTGCTCATAATATTCTCACGTTCTGATCTGGGACATCGGTAACTTTTGCCAAGAAAATATATTTACATACCTGAATTGATCTTGTATTAGCGGAGTAACTTTCTCAAATTTCTTTATTGTTTTATAACTTCAAATAATTGTTCTGGGCCAAATGCAATGTCAATAATGCAATACTTTTCTTTGATTAGCTCAAAAAAATTTTATAATGCAACTTAAATTTCAAGTTACACTTTCACAAATACTTGATAAGCTTCTCTGTATCCAATTCCTTAGCAGAATCTGTCATCATACGAGTGGATCTCGCTTCCATTATTGTGGCAGTTGCTAAGCTAGATGCCATGAGCGTTGCTTCTAACGAGGACAAAAGTGTCGTCGAATACTAATAATTTTTTAGCTTCACGCCTATCAGACGTTGACTAAGTAGATCTCAAAACCTGGAAGTGATGTGTCATCGCCATAACAATACTGACAACTTTCGAATTTCAGTTTAAACAAAATGACTGATTATGATAGTGATGTTGAGAAGTTGCAATTGAGCAAATATTTTGTGATAGAACCTCATTTCTTTTAAAGTTGATACATTCTCTTGGAACTGGTACTATAAAATTAATTTAAAAGAGTTGCACTTGATTCTATAAGGTGGTGTGAGACAAAGAAACTTCTCTTTGATATGTTTCATATAGAATGTAATATTTTTTTAGAGTTTATTGAAATGACGAAATAAGTGTTATTATGCATTTACAGGAAATCGGATAGAAACTTAAAAATGATTCATTTTTATCTCCTTTATAAAATTATAATTCATACTAAAGTTCGTTACGTATTACACATCATGGTGCGCATGATCATGACGCACATGATAAGTTGTATACATGTATCACGGAATTCGAATTGTTCATGTGCACCGCTTCCCCCGATTTGGATATCCCCAAATATTAGTACGTATAGAAAATATCGTACGATGCATTAATAGAAAATAAGAATTGGTGATATTAGTATTCGGATAAGCATCGTACGATATCAATCACTAGTGAACCATATATCGGACAGGGTACAAGAGTGATGGATTAGGAAAGATGAATCACTCGAGATGAATATAAAAGTGATTCATCTTATCTAAAAGAGCAGCTTTAGTTAAAAAAAAAGGCTTGATTTTTATTAAATAAATCTATTATTCTCGAGTTAATGTACACAATTATTTGAAGAATAAACTTATATTTCTTGTCAAATAAACTTATACTTCTCATTAAATAAAATCTCGTCTGTCGTATCCATATTGTCTAGTTGAGTGATCCATAGAGAGATCACAAAAGTAACGGGAAGTATTAATTAAGGAAAGCTGATAAAGCTAAGGCTCACTCACTACCTTCTATCGGTGGACACTAGCGACGGGTTATTAGGATTGATCCGTGGGTTGGACGATATTGAACACGTGATCGTATAAACAGTCTCCGGGTTATCCAGCTTTCTACCTTCATCGGTTCCACTGGATTACAATGTGACTTTCACCCAATTGGTGCTTTACGTTCAACGACGATTATTGCTTTGACCAATCAGTTTTTAATGTGATTACACTTTTTACTCCTTTAATATCAAAAATTCAAAGGAATACAAGTACATACGTATGTAAATAGGAATGTAATGATATCGATATGATTCATTGCCTAGTTCATCCTTACTCTGTCCATCTCTGTATTCTATCCTCACCATTTTAAGAATAACTACTATTATTATCGTTATAATCTCTAGTGTAGTTCGCTTTGACTTTTAATTCAAGTGAATCTTTCAAAAGGGAGTTATTCTTGCATGAAATCACAGTAGATTTATAATGAAATTATATTTTGCTTTTTCCAATTCTATGGGACAGAATACATGAAATTATATCATTAAAAATGATGAATACATGAAATTATATCATTATAAATGATGAATAAATATATATAGTTTTAAACATAATTAAAGAATCATAGAACTTCCGTAAATCATATTTGATACATGTATACATAAAAGAATTTTGCAAATATATGTAGAATCAAGAAAGTATATACATATATAACAAAAGGTAATGGTTAAATAATAAGTATATACGTGACAGTAAACACAAAGAAGTTGGGACTGTTTTGGTGAGTTAATCATTTTTATAGACATATCTGATTTTTTGTATATTCCATACTTTTTTACAGAAATATAATGTTATCATGGTTGTCTCTGCATGAAATTTTCTTATATACAAATGACTCTTGATATAAGAAACTCTCAATATAAGAAAGACTAATTAAACATTGATATAAGAAAGTTGAGCTCAGCATCACTCCATAATAAATTTACTCAATATAAAACTCTTACTATAAGAAAGATTTGTAAATTTTTACTATGGATCCGAATTCCTTTTTTATATTGAGAGCTAGTTGTACATGCACAGTACCCGAAAAGTAATGTCTGATCCAAAATTACGTATATAATAAAATAAATAAAAAATGGAAATTTTCAAGCTATATATATATATATATATCTAAAATAATTATTTCTAAATTTTATATTATTTTAAAGCTAATTAATCGTATTTTCAAAAAAATAATACAAGACTTGTGGCAAACTTAAAATACAATGTTTTGATTAGAAAGTAAAAAAATTTTCTCACGCTTTATCTATTTCAAGCTATATATCTATATATCATTTTAAAGCTAACCAATTGTATTTTTGAAAATATAAACAATACATCTACATATATCACTTTTAAATTGAAAGAACTTTTTAATTATAAAATAAACAAAAAAATTTTAATATGTATTTTACTATATAATTTTAAATTGAGTGTTACTTTTTGAAGATACTGTACATAATATATATATAACGAATTTTTTAAAAATGAGCAGTGTAACGTCCAATAATTTTTCATTTGTTCATTTTCTGATAACTAATTCTATATTACTTGAAACAAAATACACTTGCTGCTTGACTAAAGATTGAATCCATTTAAAAAAATACAATCCAGAAGAGAGAAGAAAGGTTTCACCTGTTGTACCTAATCTTTGATTCAAATTTTATGAATTTCATAACTATAAAAAAAATATTTGTGCTCATTTCTAATAAATTTTATTAGATCCATAGCAAAAAATAATACAGAGTAGTGGGAAGGAACACTCATTTAATGGGTTATGGCTCGAGATGTTTCTCTCTTTATACGTCCGCTACTCCATTCATTATATTAAACTCCATTCATTTTATTAAATTCATTTTTTAATTAATGAAATAATTAAGATTTTCGCCCACATCGGGTATCTGATTTTAAAACAATACTTTAATTGTATTTATAACGCATCATTTTTACTTGGTCCATCCACTAAACCACGATGAGCAAATGTCGGAGAAAGGTACATCTCGATATTTTCTGGATATATGAGAAGTAGTTG